TTATATGGCGTTTTGTACTACCAAAGTATTTCGAAAAATTGCCAGAACTTTTTGTGATCTCCACCCAAACATGATCGGGCGGCCGGCAAGTCAACAAGCCCCACCGTATGCTATAAAACAGGGACAGCTGGCCACAACAGTCAGTTAACTGTTCAATCGCTTCCTAGTCCGCCGGTAACCCCAAGCTGCCCCTTTTTGGTCTGACAGCCTTAATTTATGAACTGTGTGACTACGAGATTTGCATACACCAGACATGCAAAGAAATCCAACACACGAGATACACGTTACAAATTTATACTGTTCAACAATTGATCAGCTAGTATAGCCGAACAATCGTACACCAAAACTGTCACGTTCTCGTGGATCGCTCGACGATGCAAGTGCCAGCATCAGTTGCTGTGGATGCCATGCTAACGAGTAAACTTCCCCATCTAATCGAATCTCGTGCACTCTGAAATCAGGCTTACTTTCTCCTTTCAACAGCACGCAAGAGCGGAAAGTATTGGTTACTGGGAAACTCACCTTGATCCGTCATTCACATAAGCAATATCTATGGAGTGATCTTCACTTCCAGTCGCTAGCAACTGGCTGTCACTACTAAACGCCACCGCTCTCACAGGGTAGTCCAACCTTAAATTGCAGAAATCAAATGGTTTGCTAAAATATACGTTGAATACCAAAAATGTAATATTCAATATAAAATTAGCAAGATCCATTTCGATCTAGACCAAGCGATTAGCTTCTAGTGATCCAGAAGGAGAAGGTTCCGAAGGCTCGCTAGCGTTTGTGAGTACGCCGAGCTACTTTTCGTCGAATTTTCCTTCGACTGCGAATGGAACACGCTCAACCTTCTGGAGACGATTCGTGCCGTACATACTCTCCTCACAGGCGTATTCCACGTTCGTCGTGTGGAACGGAAGTGCCTTTCACTGTGTCTTCCTTATTGGTGTGGTCGTCCTAACTTTCTAAGACGGCAACGGGGTTAAAGGCACCAATAATGAAGGCACAATAGTCGTCCGGACCAGCCCACACAACGAGCGTAGAACGAGTCTTCAAAAGATCCATCTATGATACAAGTTTCTGTTACCTTCCAAGATTTCGTTCACAGATCATTTCTTCTATGCTCCATATAGAACACAAAGCGTCAGATGCTCCGACAGCCACGCGTTGTCCATCTGGTGATACTGCTAGTGCTACGCAATTTGATTGACCCGAATGAGCTGTTACTGTACGAACTAAGTCCAACTCAGGCATCCTGAAAAAGGTTTTCCAACTACTGCAAGATTTTTGCACAGCAGAAAGAGAGCAGAATTCGTCTCCTAGAATTGGAATTTCCAACATCAAGAGCTGGAGTTTACATAGTCGTGTCCGCTGCGAACGCTGGTGTGCTGGGTTTGGCAGAATGCCAGCCCGCAATCCACCAACTGTTGAAGTGGGGAAGCGACGAAAACTGGTGGAAAACGGACTGGCGCCGCACCAAGTCCAGCGATCCCCCCCCCCCCCCCACATCGCGACACACCCAGCGTCTGCAGTGAAAACGACTACGCGAAATTCTAATTTCGTGTGAACTTTGCAGCATATAGACGTTCTTGGAATGCCAAACCGTGTCGACAGAACTGCAGTTTAGTAACTCACTTGAAAATCTCCACTCTGCCTTGGCCCGTTGCGACGAACAGATATTTCCCACACGGATGATAAGCAAATTCATTCATCTCTCTCTTTGACTCATACGACTGAAACTGAGAAATATAGCGGATTCTCTCTCTAACAACAGGAAGATTGAAATAACCTTCAAAGTGCTCAACGTTCTCCCATCTATTACGTGAAGCCGATCCTCCTTGTCTCCATAAACCAGGTATCTCCCACATGGTGACCATGTCACGTATAAATTTGCGGCTGGAAACGATATGATAGCACGATAGTCTCACGACCTTCTATTTGGGAGGGCTAATAGCCTCAAAAAGGGAAGAACGAAAGAAAATGTTGAGCTGGTGAGGTTGTCACTAAGAACTAGAAACGTTCGT